GCCCTAAAATAGTATTTTCGGGTTTTACAAAGTTGGATTTTTTTAAGTAGTATTCGGGTCGGGTCATTTTTTGACATCCCAAATGGTAGTGAACCTGATTACTTTGATGGGAATGGTGGAGATTGTTCAAATGTTTAAAAATAGAGTGTAATTGGGTATTGAAAATCAAGACTCAAGAGGGCTTTTTATTGATGAGATATTATAATAAGAATACCTTTACCCTAAAAATAGATTAAGATATCAGAAGAAAACATAATGGGTCCCACAACTTCTAATAGATATCAATCATTCCTTTCAATATTTCAATGTTATTGTGGAGCACACCACAGAAACTTTGCATTATCCCCTTAGTCGGTAGATATGATCAAAGAAGTAAGTGGTGGTAATCTCTTCTATTGTATGTTTTGACGACTTGTATGTAGGCGTGGAGTTGAGGTTGAATCAATTCATTGACATTTTGGAAAATTTGGTTGACTTTCATTCTTCATATTTCATAAGAAAAACCCACACATTTATGATGTGATCATCAACCATCTAAATTTTTTATCTCTATAAATTCGTGCCCAACTCTCCTAAACATTTATGGTTATGAGTCAAATTTTCAGAAGGTATACTATATTATATAGATAATCTTAGAGTTTTTGCCCATATTTGGCACTGATCTTATGACATGGCTTCAAGTTTTTTCTAGGCACAAGCCTATATGGTTAATTATCCCTCCAAGTGATGAGGAAAAGCTTTCAATTAAGGTTAATTGTTAAATGTTAACTGCTTAGCATATAAAATTAGAGATTTTTTTACTTTCACTTTGATAGAAAATTTTCCGTCGTTAACTTAAAATGGATGTTGGGAGAATGATGATGATCCTGTTGTTTGGTTGTCTCGAGTTGTCATAGTCCCTATTCTATGTAGTCAGTGGAGACAGTGGACTGAACTCAAGCATGGGATAAACCCCCTGCTCCCCCCAGCTAACAAGAAAAGCTTTGAGGTTCAAAACAATAGAATAACTAGATTGATTAACACAATCATATTCCACATATAACAGCAAGTATTTTGGAAATAGAGTCTCCTCTAGCAGAGATTAGCTTTTAATAGAACCATCATTGAGGTAGGACCATTTACATTATTTATATTTAGGATTTAATAGCTTGATCTTGAAAATGGAACCTCACATTATGATGTTCAATGATTATGCCCCTCATAGGAGCTATGTTTGAATGCTTTGATTTAATTTTTTTTACCTTCTCAAGTTTGTCAACTTGCAATGGATTGGATCTGTCATGAGAAAGGGATTTCAATTTAGGTTTTCTTTTTTATTGAAGCATGAATAGACACACTGAATGAATGGACAAGACCTTTGGCACCAGAAGCATATGAGAAATAAAATTTTTTTGGGATTTGTTTGTTGGCAGATGTGTTGCCAAGTCCCAAGCCCTCAATGAGATCAATAGATGGTTGCGCTAGGTAGTTGACAACCAGCATAAAACATGTTGAATAATTATGACATGAATCTTACAATATATTGTATTAATGCTAAGATGATTCTTAGAATCAATACTGGTGCTCGTGTATAGTACCAAATAAACAATGGTTCCCATAATATGGATGAATGTAGGCAACAAAGCTAGTTTATGAAACTGGCATTAGAAAAGTAATTTGGAATATAAGTATTCTTATGGCGAAATAAATGAAACTTATTGATATTATAAATCATAAGAAGTTAAATATTCTATATATTCAGTAAACTAAATAGGTTGGAAAAAAAGTTGAGGAGATTAATAGTTTAGGATTTCAATTTCTATATTCAGATGAGAGTTGTACTACAAATATTGTAGGTGATATTATAAATAAGAGTGAAGAACAATGCTATAGAAATTAATAGAATTCGAGTTAGAATTATTGTTTAAAAATTATTAATAGTAAGATTATTAACGTTATAAGTGCTTATACTTCTCAAGTAGGTTTGGATATGTGTTCTAAAATAAAATTTTTGAGTTAAAAGAAATAATATAAATGATATCTTTTGAAAAAGTTTTTTATATGAGCAAATTTAATAGTCATGTTAGTAGAGGGGTAGAAGATTTTAAAAGCATTCATTATGTCTATTAGTTTGGAGTGATTAATGATGGTTGTAGGATCATATTAAATTTTAGTTTAACTTATGATTGTAATTGCTAATATGTTATTTAAGAAAAGAGTCATCTTAAGAATGATCATATTAAAACTCAGAATTATTATTTTCTTATAATAAATTGATCATTTTGATTACAAAGATTATAAAATCATTCTGAACGAATGTTTATGTACCCAACATCTCTTATTAGTTTTGGACTTTAAGATGAAGGGGTAAAAATGAAAAATAAAGTAAAACATTATCTTAGTATTAAATAGGGGTATTTAAAAAACATTAATAAAAATATTTTTAGGAGTAAGATTCAAGATTCTAAAATTTGATTTGTTCATGAGAAAACTAATGTTATTTGGAATGAAGTAGTCAGTGATATTAAGATTTTTGCAAAGTTTGTGTTTAGATAATAAAAAAGAAAATCTCGTAATAATAAAAATAGTTGATGGGGAATTAAAGTGTGCAAAAAAAGAGAAAAAATAATAAGTTTTCTTGTAAAAATGAAACTTATTGATGTATAAATCATAAGAAGTTAAATATTCTATATATTCAGTGAACTAAATACGTGGAAAAAAAAGTTAAGGAGATTAATAGTTTAGGATTTCAATTTCTATATTCAGATGAGAGTTGTACTACAAATATTGTAGGTGAGATTATAAATAAGAGTGAAGAACAATGCTATAGAAATTAATAGAATTCGAGTTAGAATTATAGTTTAAAAATTATTAATAGTAAGATTATTAACGTTATAAGTGCTTATACTTCTCAAGTAGGTTTGTATATGTGTTCTAAAATAAAATTTTTGAGTTACTTAAAAGAAATAATACAAATGATATCTTTTGAAAAAGTTTTTTATAGGAGCAAATTTAATAGACATGTTAGTAGAGGGGTAGAAGATTTTAAAAGCATTCATTATGACTATTAGTTTGGAGTGATTAATGATGATTGTAGGATCATATTAAATTTTAGTTTAACTTATGATTGTAATTGCTAATATGTTGTTTAAGAAAAGAGTCATCTTAAGAATGATCATATTAAAACTCAGAATTATTATTTTCTTATAATAAATTGATCATTTAGATTGCAAAGATTATAAAATCATTCCGAACGAATGTTTATGTACCCAACATCTCTTATTAGTTTTGGACTTTAAGATGAAGGGGTAAAAATGAAAAATAAAGTAAAACATTATCTTAGTATTAAATAGGGGTATTTAAAAAACATTTATAAAAATATTTTTAGGAGTAAGATTCAAGATTCTAAAATTTGATTTGTTCATGAGAAAACTAATGTTATTTGGAATGAAGTAGTTAGTGATATTAAGATTTTTGCAAAGTTTGTGTTTAGATAATCAAAAAGAAAATCTCGTAATAATAAAAATAGTTGATGGGGAATTAAAGTGTGCAAAAAAAAGAGAAAAAATAATAAGTTTTCTTGTAAAAATTTATTTAGATATAAAAGTTTGAAAATTTGGAAAAGATCTGGAGAGGTCTGTAGAGATTCTAAGAAAGTAATGTGATGTTAAAAAATTAACTTTCAGTAATTATATAATATATTAGATACTAAGGGTGGAAGATGTATGTATAAGTTTACCAAGCAAAGTGATGGAAGAAGTAAAGATTTGATTCAATTGAAGCACGTTAAAGATGAAGATAAAAAAGTACTTTTCTTAATAGAAGATATTCAACATAGGAGAATGAGTTATTTCGTTAAACTTTTCAATGAATATTGTAAGAATATAGTTAACCTTAATGATCTTAGCGTTCTAGGTGAAAGTAGAGATTTTTATTTTCATCATCATATTAGTAAAATTGAAGTTGGACGGGTTTTATAGAAAATGAAGTATGGAAAAAAAGTATAACCTAATGATATTCCTATAGAAGTGTGGATACTTAGGAGATCAAGGAATTTTATGGCTTAGTAAATTTTTTAAAATTATTTTGAAGAATAAAAAGACGTTAGATTAGTAGAGAAGAAGTTTGTTGGTTCCTATTTTTAAGAAAATAAAAGTGACGCTCAAGAGTGTTCAAATTATAGAGGAATTAAGTTAATATATCATACATTAAATTTATGGGAGAGTGTAATTGAGCATGGATTACGATGCGTTGCTAGTAATTCTCAAAATTAGTTTGAGTTCAAGTTAGGTTGGTCTACTATGGAAGCTATATATTTGTTGAGAGGTGTGTTAGTGAAGTATAGAGAGAGAAAGGATGATATGCATATAATATTTATTAATTTAGATAAACCATATGATAAAGCTCTAAGGGAAGTGCTCTGAAGAGTTTTAAAGAAGAAATGAGTTAATAATACTTATATTCAAGCCATTAAGTATATGTATATGCTTGTTACTGATGACATTCTTCTTGTTGATAAGGCTAGGGAGAGAGAGTTGATAAAAATTTTAAATTATGGAGATCAGCATTTGAGTCTAAAGGCTTTCGGAGTAGCTATAGCGGTAGATAAAATTAGAGAGAGTTGCATTTGATTGTTAAGTTATATAATAGATCAGTAGATGTATTAGATCCAGTCTTTGTTAAGAAAGATGGAGATAAGCCTAAAAAGACTTGGTTAAAAAATATTAAAAAAATGACTTTTTTTATTAAATTTAAAGGTGAATTTGACTCTTAAATTTAGTAAGATTTACTGATATCTTGTACTTGATATTTTTGAATAGAAAATAAAAATCTATTGTCATTTAAGTCATTTCACAAATCAAGTTTGGTTTGTCTGTGTGAAGAGAATTGCAGTGGATATCATGTTTAATGGAGTAAAGAACATGCATGATGGATTGATTAATATATTTTTGGTCTATTAAAATTTTGTAATTCGGGAATTATTGATTTTCAAATGAACCTGGTGCATGATTCTTGTGCAGATGAGAAGTTTAATTCAGAGAAGACACTCTCTCTTCAAGAGAAGGACATAGAAAGCAATATACAGAAAAATATGCGATATCACCCGCTTTTCTTTGGTGTTACTTTAGGGTTACTAGCGGAGATCATAAACTCCAGGTACTGGTTTTCTGTATTGTATAATGTATTTTGATAGGAAATCAGTTATAAATTGCAATGCATGAAATTGGTTTAACTTTACTACCCATTTCTTTTCATTTTCTTTTAATTATCCACTGAAATCATTTACTGCTCAGGTTCTTAATCCTTTTTCTCTATTTCATGTAATTCACACATTTTAAAGTAGCAAAGTTCCCATTAAATCTTTTAATTTTATGGTTAACCTGCCCCATGGATTATGAAGACTATCCTAGCCTGGTTTGCAACTTCTCTTGACAACTCACACCATTAATATGATATGGAAATGTAAAGATTATCTGTTTTACTATGCTGTGACGATGCATTCACAGCCCTTGGGAACTGCTGCACCTTTCAGGCTTACTTGCTCTTAGGTGCTCAGTAGTCCAACTTGGTGAAAGTTAGCAATGAAAATATATTTAGGGCTCAAACTGCTGAGCCTAGGATTTACCAAAGAAATTAGGATGGTGAAACCTTTCCTGAAATCTTAAGAAGTAAATTATAATCCTGTATTTTGTTGTATGCATTGATGGCCATAGCAGTCCAGTGATTTGTGAGCAATTTGATCTACCTCAAGCTACTGATAATCTTGTTTGTAGGCTTAATCTGAAGGCATCACCATGTTAGCTGTATCCAAATTAACCTACGTGATTTCTATGAGTACTAATATTTAACCCTGATGAAGATGAGTTGGCTAAGTCTCCAAAGGCCTATGGGTGATGCCTAACCCAAGTTTCTGGCTAGCTTATGGTCCTAATCTAGGGGACGGGCTTGGAGCAGTGTTTAGGTTGCCTCTATTTTTCATTTGGTCATGAGGTCACAAGTTTGTCTTTTTGAATGCAAAGACTCTGCATTGGCTCATGCTTCTTGCACTGGGTTTACTTACGCTCCTTCGGACTATTGAAATGTATCTGAATGCAAGCTGATTATTCAGACTATTTAAAAACCAGATCAGATTCGAAAAGTGTGCTATTTTCTCTAGCATTTATTCCATTAGACGTAAATCTCAAGTTAAATTAAAATTTCAAGACAAACCAAGACTTGGGTTTTGTCTAGGATTAAAAAAATATTGACCATTTTATCATAGACATGCATAAATTCTTATATAGATATATACATACATACATATATGCTAGTTATTTAGGAAAAAACTAAAACTCATTCCGTTCTGATTAGTTTTCTTTAACTACATTAAAATAGAAGATTAAGACCATTGAGGTTGTCTCTTAAGAATTACTTGGTAATCTAATTCTATTTTTTTTTAAAGTTTGGCATTTGTTTACTTGTGAAGTTAATGTAAAACTTGCATGCCCCTCTAAAAGTAATTATTCAATATAATATACTTGAAATCAAATCAGTGAAATTGTTCCAAGTGTTGTTTTATATAGGCAAAAAAAAATCATTTGATTTGAATACACTTAATAAAATTAATAAATCATTTAGCTTACTATATTGACCATGTGTTAGAGTGTAATATATACATGCTTGATGAATTGCCAAATCATTTTAAGATTTTATTCAATTTTGTATCCTACTTTTCATTGTGTAGATTAAGATTAAGATGAGTAGTTTTGATTTATCAATTGAATGTTACATGAACTTAAAATAAACCAAAATTAAATTACATAAAAAAGATTCTTTATCCATATAAAAGGGTATTAGTTTTTCTCCATATACAAAGAAACACATAGATACACAAGAGGGGAGATGGGAGAAGGGGGAGGAGTGGGAGTGGGAATGAATGTGGAGAGTCATGTTCATGATATATAACCAAAGACTGACTTTATTATTCAGAACTTCAAGAATTAAGAACAGAGGGAGGGAGTGGAGGGAGGGAGTGGAGGGGGCAGGAGGGAGGGAGGAAGCAGGAGAGTCGTGTTCATGATATATAACCAAAGACTGACTTTATTATTCAGGACTTCAAGAATTGAGAACGGATTATGCAACCATTGAATCTTAGGGTAGGAATGGGAGGAAGAGTGATGCAATGCCATCTATGTTGGATGATTATTTTTCCAATCAGCCTATATAGTGTAAGTTTCTCATATGTCAATCATAAAGACTCAAATCTTGCTACAATGAAGCTGAATTAGACTATTTTTCAAAGCTTTTTAGACCCCTTCAAATTTGGCCAATTTTTTTTTTATATTTAATTTTTAAATATGGTAAATATAATAGAGATGAGGATAATCCTATTCTTATTCTTGGAAATAAAGATAAGGATAATTTTAGCATTATCTCAGGGTTTGTTTTTTCTTAGTAAATAAGATTACTTGTATGGACTTGGCAATCTTTGTTGGATGAATGAATTATTGAAGAGGCCAATTATGACTGTTCTTCTCTTCCTCTTTTGATGCAAGTTATGCATGCTTACTGCTCTAATCTGTGTATACATAGTTTCTTTCACTGTAGTCTTTTCTTCTACCATTTCAAATTTTCACAACTCTTCATTTTGCAATTCACTCTACGTATGTGTGGTGGGTCTGGGAAGCCAATGACAAACCCTTCCCAGCATTACCCTGATTCATGATTCACAGCCACTTAATCAGGTCTAGCATGCATGTGTGTACTAGGCATTCTATTTCCTCTTTGTAGTTTGATTTTTTACTTTCAAGCAAAAATATGAAACAATACAAATACCTATTAGCAAATATGTTTGTTTATTTTGCTGGCTTTAGTTTCCTTGTAATGGTATAAAGGCTTGTTGTTGTTGGTTTTGCTGGTTTTAGACTTTTAGTCAAGTGCAGTACCATTAGATATTAGATTATTTGTCAATTCATACATATGTTTCATTCTCGTACTTTATGTTAATTACTCCACCCTCTCTCTTACTGTATATTGTGTCATCTTTTGTAAATGACTCCATTTTTATTTCCCTGTCAATGTATCCCTTGGACAACTTTATCCATCTTGCTTCAAGTAGATTAATTGTTAAGTATGGTCTTGTCTCTGCACTGGACCGCCATCGAATTCTGTTGTTATACCAGCGCCATATGTGAGAGAAAGGGTCTATAAATTATACCAAGATTTAGAAGTTTTTATTTTGTTAGAAAACGATGCAGTTCCTTATAATATGTGAAAGAATTAAACGATTCATACGTAACTGTTATCTGCAACCTTTCCAATTCGTTGTGCTTAAAAAGAACATTTGCTAGATTTGCTGGTAAGTGTGCAGATGGTGTTTTCTTGTGTTTTGTGAGCTGGTGTGGGCATTGAAAATATATGCCCCTTTGGCAAGAAATGAAAATTCTTAATCCTAAAAATGTAGCGAAGTAGAATTTTATTAAATATTAACTGATGATTATGAATTCATGATGAAGTTTTATGGTTTAAATTGATGTGAGAAGGTTAGAATCCTTTATTTGTTTGTGTATTATTTATTGAAAAGAATATGTTGTTAATTTTTACGGCGCTGTTACCTTTTTCAGGCTTTTCACAACAGTTAGGGATTCTCTGGGTTTAACATATGATGTATCTTTCGAATTAAGTCTCTTTGATAGACTGCAACTGGGATGGTATGTCATTTCAGTAACCTCTACTCCAAGCAAGGTATGTTTACGCATATGAGAATTTCATCATATATTCCTTTTTGATTTTGCACTCCAATCCTAGTAGTTAACCTTTTAGTTTTCGTTAGGTTTATAAAGCTGTTGATGCATGCAAGAATGTGCTCAGAGGGCTACACAATAACAAGATTGCCCAGAGAGAGCTAGATCGGGTTAGTTTTCTTATGCATTTGCAGTAAAATGAGCGGATATCAAAGCAGTTTTTTTTTTTTTTTTTTTTTTTTTTTTTTTTTTTTTTTTTTGAATTTTAAAGTTAATACTCTGGGCTTTAAATTGTGTTAGCTGCAAAATTTCCAACCTAATATATTACCTCACTACAAAGCATCGTTAAAGCTATAGGGCTGCTATAACATTATCTCTTACTAATGAAATGCTTCAATACTTTCATTCCATTGATGCCATACCCGATACATCAGTTGGCAATTTTTTATTTGCAATTGGTGATTGGATATTGTCTCTGATTTTCCAATAGCGTACCCAATTTAATATTTTGAAAGCTATATTTGTATGTTCCACATTTGGGCACACATGTTACCTTGTTAAATGACAGTGGATATATGAATAGATAATATTAATGGCCTTATATACAAATTATTGGCAAATTATGTATTTATTACAATTCTAATGTGCACCTATAACTATTTTCTTGTTCTTGTTGTAGTACTGTTGATGGATGTGCATTCTAATAGACTCTTCATCATACACATTATATTCCTAGTTTCCACCCTCTGCAACTTTCTCATGACTTACATACATGTATCCATGTTTTTCCCTTAGTCTGAGCCATAAATTGTATCAACATTACTTGGGCATGAGATTTGTACATATGAGCCTAACTGTTGGCTGAAGGTTTTTTTTAATGTGACTGTTGATCTCAATACTAGTTATGGGGTCGAGTCAACCATACGCGGTGTGTTTAGAAGACGAAAGAGCACAATGTCACACAAAACGCGCCTGGCGTGCATTGATCAAAAGCCCAAATCATCGAAATAGTCTTCGTTCGCCTAATGGATTACATTGGGCATTTAGGGGCAATTAAAATAGCTGAGATCGACACACATATTGACCAGTGTTCTTGATTGACGAAAATCAAAATTTTGCGTGTGTGAATCGAGGCAACATTGACGTGTATGAATGACGATGATAGGATGGTGAATTGATGCACGATTAATATGCATAAATATTTTATATTTAATATTAATTTTATCTCTTTGAAATTAAAAAAGAAAAACAAAGAGTAAAAAAAAAGAAAAACACATAATCCCTCATTCCTACTCGCTCACTTAAACCTAGCCGCTCTAACCGACCGATCCTCTCTCATGCACGCAAGACACACGACTTGCTTTCTCTCTCGACTCTCTCAGTCTCTGTCGCTCTCTCTAGGTTCGCACAACCCTTGCCCCTCCTTCCTCTTGGTCTTCTCCATCTCCTCCTATTCCTTCTTCTTCTCCTTTCCTTTCTTATTTTCCTTTCTTCCTCTTTGTTTATTCTTCTCCCTTCTTCTGCTTCGTCCTCCCCTCTATTTCTTTTCCTCCTCACCTTCCTCCTTCCCCAAAACATAAACCTATCCTAACCCTAAAAACTTTAATCTCTACATCCCTCAAATTCCTAAAATCGATCGGATGTTTGTTTTATACATTCATATTATGCCTTCAAGGTCTATAACAAGAAAAATTCACTAATAAAAGCATGAGGCTGAAAACAAACCTGATCCTCTGTCACCAAGTAGACAATTGACAATTTTTGACTAAAAAAATAAAATTGCTTATATTAACCTTGATGATAGCCGTGTTGATAGAAACTTTCAACCGTAAGGGACCCCAAACATTTTAAATGTTTCCCAAATTTTCATGGAAATTCAAAATTCCAAAATAACAAAAATATAAGATATTTAAAATTTAAATAAAATACTCAAACATTTAAAGTAAAATATCCATCCATCTTCCACAATACTTTGCTGAGGTGGATAAATCTGAAAATCACTCCAGCTCTCAAAGAGAATATCTGGTCGAGAATCACTAGGATTCATTTTTAAATCGTCTCTTGTTTGTAAAGATGTGGCACGTGTCCTCTAACCGATGATTTCGTCGTTAAATGGCATCACGTGTAAATAGGATTATGATCGGGACCCTCTGACCGGGTGGTTTTGCTATCAAACGACACAATTATATTTTAGTCATGGTTAGAGACCGTATGTTCCCAAATGGTATCAAATTCTTGAGTAATGATTCAATAAGATATAATCGTAGGGCACAAAGCTCTCTGTTAGATAATGTGGATTCAAATTTGTCCCATTAGACAAATATCCATCATAAGTCTACAAGGGACCCTTGATGAAGCAACCCATGGCTGCTGAAAGAGGGAAGGGTCTTGAAGTTCTACCAATTGCTATAGTTTGTGATGATTTATAAAGGTACCCTTGGACAAAGCAACCCATAGCAATTTATAGTTCATCATGTTCCATCATAAGCAATTTAATATGGACCATCATGAAAGAGGCAAGGGTCTTGAAGTTCTACCAAATGCTGTTGAATTTGAAAAGGTCTAAGCTTTATGGCCAAATTAAAATTTTGATCATATGTAATGGATTGCATAAGAAAATATATTAGGTATGAAATATCGGAGTAAGTAACATTGAAAAACACAGAAATTCAAACAAGTTATAAACATTGATGATATCATTGCATCGTCTATATTTTGTTTTTATGGAAATAATTTTTTATAGGAAGAAAATACGCCATTGACATAGCATTCCATTTCATGTTAATTATTGCCCTTTTCACTTCAATTAACTATCATTGTATTTCTAAAACCAAATAGAAGTGATTGTTTATTTTATATTCAATTAGGGACTATGTTGCATCGATACACCTATTTATAAAGGCATGTTGTATATGATACATCGATAAACGGATATGCCTCCAATACGGCATCGATAAGTGTCGGATACGGCCAATGTTTAAAATTTTGTATTTAGGTATTAAGGCATTTTTCATTCGTGAGGCGATGCGTAAGCCTCAAGGCGTTTTGAGGCGTAAGCCTCAAAATCAAAAGATTGCGTAAACATAAAATGATAATTTTTTTATATACTAATGAGTGAATAATATAAAACATAAAAAAACATAAGATATGAAGTGAATTCAAAATATCCCAATAATAAGACAACATGAAATATAGTTCAACTCAAAATTCTATTTTTCCCAAATCCCAGTATTCTTTTCATTAACATATAATTCCAATTTCCAAAAATAAATAGCAATGACATATCACATAAGAACTCATAAGTCATCAGCACTGTCATCACTAAGGGGTTCTTCATTTGAATCATCATTATGTTGAACTACTCTCTCCCCTTCCTCCTCTCCTAAAGAGTCCATTGTCGGGCATTTACTTCAAGATTTATGTAAGTTTTAATATATATAGCGTGAGACGTAAGCCTCATCTCAGTGAGGCGAGGTGGGCCTCATAAAAAAAATAGAGGCGTAAGCATCGAGGCGTTTTTTACTGGAATTGCGCAAAGGCGGGCCTCAAGGCGAGTCTCATATTGCGCAATTTTAAACCATGGATACGACCAAGTTATATCCAATTAAAATACTCTTTAATTTCAAAAGGTCATGCATATCCGATACTCGTGTCCGTTGAAAAACAAAAAAATTAAAAAAAAAAGACACGTCGTATTTACTTCCACGGCTATGAGCGAGGTTCTCTTATTTTCGAGATTGATTTGAGTCTCTGATTATATGGGAATATTAGAAATTGCTAATCTTTCACTTGATGAGCCTAAGTTAGAAGCTATGATATTTATTGAAGATGATATAGAAGTTCAATGACAAACCATTGAAGAAGCTAATCATATCATTCCTTCTATTAAATAATTGAAACTTCATGTGCTAGACAATTTAAGTTTATGCTTTTGTTGTTGTACTAGACATTTAATGCTTACTTTTATTTTGAGATTATAAGCTACAAGGCTACCAATGATGTTGCTTTCTTTTTTTTTTTTTTTTGTAATTCAAATATTATGCCGTGTCCATGCCATACCCGTATCCCGTATTTTTAAGAATTGGCGTGTCCCATATCCGTATCATGTCGTATCCATGTCGCCTTATTCGTATCGGTGCAACATAGATTAAGGATAACCGATTCTTGTTTTCTTTCCTTTTTCTTCTCTTCCCTCTTTCATTTCCCATTTCATCTTTGTACTTTAGTTGATAGTTTTTTTTCTCCATTACTATTATAAATTTGATAGTGGATTGTGGATACCATGCCATGCATCCCATGCAATTTTTTATGGTCTTGGAAGAAGCTAAACATCTTTCCAGCTTTGCTGGAAGTGTAGGTAGCCATGGTCAGGTGGTGGGCCTTATATCAATTCACTTGTAATTTTGGATCTTATCGTTAAAATGTTTCATTTGCATCCTTCTTCTCTTTACTCTGCATTTCAATCTTTGAATCCAAAAGAAAGTTATTAAGATTATAACTAGTGTCTCATGGTTGTGGCAGGCAAAGAGGACCCTACTGATGAGACACGAAGCTGAGACAAAGTCAAATGCCTACTGGCTCGGATTGCTAGCGCACTTACAGGCTTCATCCGTTCCTAGGAAGGTAAGCATATTTCATTCCTCTAATCAGCAAATTTTGCAGGTTTGTGGAGTAGTTAGTCTTCACTTTTCCTTGTAGTGCCTTGTCATTTCTTTACAGTTGGAGAAGTTTAGGATCAATCTTTTAATGTAGCGCCTTGATCTTCAACAGATATGTAATCATAACCTGCTAGACATTATCTTCTTTTTTGTGGCTATTTGCTGTATCTGTTGGAAAAACATTAGGAAATCCTAGGCAAGCTCTTTGATATTGCTTCATACTACAATATTAACTCCATAAATTTTCTTTACAATTGGGTGACAGGAACTTTGTCTGATTTGTTGTTGAGTTGGCAATGAATGTTTTTAACTCTTTCTTTTTGTATGCTTAAATATACAAACCTTCCAAATTTTAAATTGACCTATGAAAATGTCCATTCATGTTCTTCTTTTGGGTTAAATATCAGTTAATAACAGTGAACTTGTATCTTAATTTTCATGTGTCTATTTCGACATCAACCTCATGATTTAAATATCCAGAGCTCCTTAAAATATAAAGGATCTTCCTGCTTTTATGCCTCAAACTTTACTTAATTACTTTCTGTTTATCTTGGAAGCATATTTCCTTTGTTGAAATACCTCTTTCATTTTGTGGATTTTAGGATATTTCATGCATCAAAGACTTAACCTTATTATATGAAGCTGCAAGCATTGAGGATATATATGTTGCATATCAATATTTGAAGGTTGATGACGCATCCTTGTTTTCGTGCATTGGTGTGGCTGGTGTACAATCAAGTGAAGATCTCTCTGGTAAGACTTCTCCGTGGATGTTTTTGTAATTTGAGACTTTTTATTTTTCTTTCTATTCTCATAAAGTTCCTTTGTGCCAATACTTGTATTCACATGTTATTAAGCTTGTTTGACCGCTTCCGAGGTGTTTGAAACTCATCGCATGCAACCTCATGTTCATCTGTTTTCTTTGTCGATGCACTTGATTGATCATATGATGCAATAAAGTTCAACACCTGCGAGCTTCGATGTGACTTATTCCTACTCACATGCCATTGGATGTGTTGATGCCTTCTCTTGTGAGCTCCTCCTCACTTCTATATTGTAGCAGTTTTGGTTTGTGGTAGAGACACAACACGATAGAGAGGGAACATGATAGGGAGGGAAGGGTTCGAGATTGTAAGCTAAAGTTGGCTGCTATATTTATAAAGACTGAGAGAGAGAACAAGAGAGTGAGTCGCATATAGCAGAGAGGAATTCATGATTTTTGGTGTTTGAGTGCATGAGAAATGGAGAGAGTGATATTACAGAGAATAGGGAATGGTGCTGCTTCGGGATTTATGAGATATGATAGAGATGTAGCAAAAAAATAGGGATAGAAGGGGGATTGTTTTTTCTTTTATAACTATATAAGAATAATAGTAATAGTGATGGGTATCAACTTTGCTTCATGAATCTTTGTTGTTTGTGCACATCAATATTTCATACTCGTCTCGCTGGTGGATAAATTTTTTAGTTGTTCTCGTGCAACGTCCCAAGTAATATGGATATCTTTTTCAATTATTATTGATATTCAGAACGTTTCGGTGCAGTTTGTTGTGACAATTAGGTGATTTTGATTATGGTCAAGGTGTTTCGGACTAAATTTGCCCAATAATGTTGTTCATTGTCTATCATTTTCTTAACATTTGATAGGATTGATTGTGGGGATGCTTTCTTGATCATTTGATGCTTCATGTGCAGTAATGCACTCAGTTTTATGAACGACTGATGTTTTAATATTTTTTATATGTATGATCATTTCAAACCAAGCTTGTGTGGCGTTGCCCAGTTGGCTGTTATCCTTGTCACATTCGTTCCTGTTTGTTGTGTAGCAAGTATTGAGGTTACAGTCTAATTACTACTCCGAGACATTTAATTAGGAAATCTGGAATTCATTGTTGTGTACCTTGAAATCTGTCACATCCGTCTCCCTACTTTGCTGACAGGATGGGCCTTCATCTCTCTTGTGATTTTTTGTGCAAAAGTAGGAGGAAAAGTAATTAATCACATCTAAAAATCATGAAATGTCTTCACAATATTTCTGTAACACCATTTTTTGGGATGGTTCTAAAGGATGCTCATACTTTTGCTTCTAAATTGACTTTTACTTTGCTCGTGGTATCAATCATTGGATTTTTTTTAGCAGTGAACATAGTTGATATTAATGCATTAAAATTGTTTTATTTTGGTTTAACTGCTTTACTGTTTTACAGCCACAGAAGAAGACATGGGTGTAAGCTATCAGCCATTTTCTCAGATTGGGCGTGGTCTGTCTACAATGACACGTCCCACAACATGATTTTCTTGATACAATTCGTTGATTAAGTTTGCGGGAGATCTGAATAATTTTCAGGGTAAAGTTTCTTTAAATTAATCTTCGCGTTCTATTCAAACTTATTGGCTTGCAATGTGACTTTTAACTTAAAATTGAAAACAATACAGTTCCAATTTTCGTGGAAGTTACAACAAATTCTTTAAAAAAAACAGACAGGTATACCTTAATTTGAATTTTGCAGGTTAGCTGACTCTTTATTTTGAAATAATTTTTCTTTTGACATAATCAAGTCCTCTTTTGTGATGTTTTTCAGTTTATAATACTAAACTTGTGCACTATTGATGTGAAAAGTTACTCAAATTGTTTGGAGTAGAACAAACTGACTAGCTTGCCTCTTTTGAATATGGCAAATTAGCTAGCTCTTTCTTTTGACATAATTTTGAGTCCATTAAGTCCCTTATTTTTGGAGCTTTAAGGTTGTAATAATGAACTTCTGACACTAGTGAATTGTTTTTAAAGTCTTACAAGAGTCTATAATAGATTCTATATTGATAAGTAGAATTGATAGTTATGTGAGGAAATTAAAAGGGTTATTAAGGAAATAAAATGAACTTAAAAAATGCTGCAATGCATGAATAGTACATAGGATAGGAATATTCTGAAGTGGTTAGTAAGGAAAAAGCTATAGTTTGTGATGATTTATATACTTGACTTGGTACTATGAAAGGAGGAAAAGAGATATAAAATGTCTCTAAATAAGAGATAAGAGATTCAAGGATTTTGATCATGTATGATACCTTAAAAGTGAAGATAATGGAATCTTGATTAAAGATAAATTCATCAAGGAAAGAATTAATATGAGAAATTAATTAGACTTTTTTCTCCTATGCATGTCCATTAATTCTTTTAACAAGAAAAAATCCCTCCACTAACATTACAATCACAATAGAAATAACACGTAATGCCACCACCATTTTCTTAGATCGGTGAAGTCATGAAAATGATGCACACAATTTGCATTGCAACGCTTTATACTACAAATTCCTGCACAACTTAAAATTATGAAAGGTTAGGATTTTGAAAGCAAAGCAGCTTAAGCGATATCAACTGTGGCATTCTGATAAGAAAATGACATTTATCACATGATGTTTCAGGTTATATCAGTTCCCTGAATGCCATTATTATAGAAGACCACATAAAAGTTCATTGTAGGTGCATTCGCAAAAGTGAAACAGCTGGAATTTTTCAGAAACAATTTTTATAATTCTTCATCAACTACATTTTTTTTTTTCATGTAATTTTGTGCAAAGAATGACGTCTATTATTTACTTCCATATATATTTTTCTCCTGATATATTCAGAAGCTTTTGTGTCATGGTAAAGCTAACGTTTCAATAATCGTTGTTGTATTTGTATCCTGTATTTGCAACATTACTGATAATATCTGTATGGCTCCTTTCATTGTCAAAAGCTGTTTTTGAATGTGTTTTTTTTTTTCTTTTTATTTGGCCAGGACTGCTGCGACTGATTCCCTTCACCGTTACTGGTCTCCCATGTATATTATCATTTAGTATTTCTTGCATTATACGGTTTGTTGAGAAACCACAAATGTGATAGAGCATTGAAGTTATCTTGATAAAAATAATCCTAACGAGGGGATGGAGATTGAATTGGCCAATATTTTTTATTCATATAGCACCACAAGCCAAATTGCAATATATTTTTTAGCCCGATGGCACTTTAGTTGTTGTATTTATTTATTCTAAAGCAAAGTTTATAATTACCTAATTTTAAATTTTTTTAATGTGTGGTTTGTTTGGGAATCATATGAAAGTGGCTCTTAGGGCAAATTATTTTAAACTAACTTTAATAAATTGATGCCTAACGTAAAAATTAATTTAAAAAAAAATTATCTTAAAATTAAGGCTTTCTCCAACAACCTTTTAATTAAAAATTATTTTCTTTATGTATTTTGAATGAGGCATATAATAGAGCTTGCTAGTGGTTAAAACCATTATGCTCTAGTGTATATTCATATTATAGTTCACAAAATGAACATAAAAGCCTCTATAACTTAAGGTCAAATAACTTGCAAGCATTTTAATTCCTTAGGATGGAACTCTTATTTAAAGTTATGAATTTTGACACACCTACATGTCAACTTAGTATACTAGATAGTGGATGTGGTTATATAAATTAGAGTGTAAGTTTAGTCGAATAGCTCTAGTTGTGTATAGTTAGGCTATCTCATTCATTTTCTTTTTATAAGCATTACTTATATGACTAAGGATTGTAGGCACTACATCTTTTCAAGTTAACCTCTTAGAATTTGACTCTTCTAAGAATTGTGTTCTTTTTATTAGTTTCATACAACTGGCTCACGGGTACCATCAATATAGCTCAAAATATATTAACTATGAAGGTGGTTAATTAAACCCAACCAGGAGATGGTCAATCAACATACTAGGAATTTGATTATCATAAATATTATTTGTTATGCTAATTGAAAGTATAATTGTGTGTAGGTTATTGCATTTATATTTATATTTCATGTAAAAGCAAGGACAATAAATAAAGCAATATTTGGCACACATGAGATAGAATCAGGAGGATTAAAAATAGAATTGAAATTTTGGAGGCCATCAAAGACAATAAGAGCTTAAGAAATAACATGTGTGTTAGTTCATAAATTTTTATTTCATTGAGTCTATTTATTTTCTAGGAATATAGTGGGATAAACAACTAAGAACATGAACTCAAGTGTAATACTAAGTGAAGTAAAAGTTAATTGAAATACTTGATTTTTTTATTAGTCGTACTGTATGATATTAATCATAATGTATGATTGAGCATAACAATTTTTTAAAAAATTTATAATAATAAAGTAGTATTAATTAATAGAAAATTGTATGATAATTAGCATACTTGATGATCAGTTATTTCAATTTAAATTGCCAACTCATTTATTTCCAAAATAAGTAAATTTAAATTTATACTAATTTTATTGTATGAAGTCATTCGTATTGTAGGAATTTTTAATATCTTAATTAATATTTACCTAATTCAAGACTTGAAATCAAGGAGTCTAATAAGAGATAATTTCATACTATACAAACCATTTGGTACAGTTTGAGCAAATAGATGACTTTTTCAAATGATCTTCATTCAGGCAAATCTGTCTAGTGCATTATGTCCAAAACTTGAATTAATCATACTATACAATCAATATCATACAAGTTTATCTAACATAGAGCAACTTTTTGGAGATTCATCTTTAATGAACTAATTGTATTATATGATCATAAAATCTATATGATCAAGCTATCATTTTTACAAATAATTCATTTTAGGACTTATTTTGGAGCCCTCATATAAATTGCTAACCTTAAGGTTTCTATTAAGGCTTTTACTCTGATTTTTGGAGAGAGCTTTTAAACATGGGAGTTCTTGTGTGAGGGAAATTTTTTGTCTTTTCTTATAATAATTTGATAGGAGTGTGGGAGAGAGAGATTAGAGGGAACATGTGATTCTTGAGAGTGTCAAGAGATCTTTATGTGCAAAGTGCATAAAGCTATTTTTCTTGATTTATATCCTTAATAATCTAAGTTGTTGTAAGTAGCTCTTAGGAAAAGAGCTCTAAAATGTTTTGATGTGAGAGACTTTGGGTTTAGCCAATGAGGTGAAGGAATAGGAGGCATCTATGCCATGTGATGCAAAAGGAGGGAGTTAAAGCCTTATCAACAAATAAGTAGTGTAATGTGGTTTATCCATTACCCTGTGAAGAAGAAGAGCTTCTCTAACTTATTAAACACAGTAGGAGAGAGAGTAAAATTCATGAGGAAGAGAACCTTGGAGAGTGGATGTATGTCAAGTTGGCTAAACCTCTATAAAAATTCGATTTGAATTTTTTTGTTTATTTTATTTTCATGAAATCTTATTACTTGCTTAGTTTTATTTCAATAGTTGTTGATCTTTTTCAAAAGCTAAGAAAAATAGTTTGAAAATTGTGGCAATTTGTTTTAAATAAAAATTAAGAAAAATATATATTTCTTTATTATGTTAAAGTTATTTTGAAATTAAGAGAGAGAGAGAGAGAGAGAGATAGAGAGAGAGTAATATTTTAGTGTTTCATTTTATAAAGACTTTTGCTATAATTGTTATACTTTTTTAAACGCACCAATTTACCCCCTTCATCTTTTGTGTGCATCAAACATTTTCAATTGGTATTAGAGTAAATTCTTACTATATAAATTAAACAACATAAGCAGATCCTAAATAACACACTTTGGAAGTTAGAATATGTCGAAAGGGTACTTGATTACTCGTCCATCGCTTTTCGATACTTCCCCTTCTGATTTTTAGAAAATTTGTATGGCAACATTTTTTAAATCTATTGAATTTAGAATATGAACTTAATTCAAGTAGGCTATACATCTCCCTATAAGATACAAAATAGATCAAAGTTTAACTTGCTTTAATTATTGGAATTTTAAAGATAGGGAGCTAACACAACCAAATGCAAAAAATTTAAACTATTTTTTTATACTGTAAACTCAAAAACTTTTATGCATATTTATACTTGTGCCACTGGTAAAGAAATTTGTGATATGCATTATCATATTTATGAAGGAACTTATGGAGGTAAGCAATCCCAAATGAATATTATATTGCATGATCTTGAACTATTTTGCATGTACATGATGAATTTATTTCTAACATGTATACTTGCTCCACAAAGATTATTACATCATTGCATGCCTTGGGAATAGAAATTTCTAAAACTATACAAAATTTTGAGATGTTTGTCTGAATCTTGGGAAGCTAAGGTGGCAACAAATTTTGAATCAAAAGATTTAAATGCTTATTCAATTGATAATTTGTTTGGTTCAATAATAACATATGAGCATAAAATTAGCCAAAGACACATATATTGACAATGAAAAGAAGGAGAAAGTGATTAATTTAAAAGATGATGATTCTAAAAGCAATAAGTTCAAAGGTGGTGGAGTAAAAGACATTGCATTTATGACCATCAATTCAAAAGATTTCTCAAAGCATATAAAAAAGGCATAGTGACAATTGGAAAGGTAAAAATAAGAAAGTCAACAAGATTTCTTTTGACACTATTTATTTTGAGTGCAGAAATTAGGTCATATAAAATGAGATTATCCAAACTTGAAGGACCAACCACTTATAAACAATGTTAAGGATAGACATAAACTAGAAAAGAGCAAAAGAAAATCTCACAAAGATTTTTGGGACATTTCTAACGTATACTCATCTGAAATTCAAGTTGTAGAGGAGAACACCAAACTTTGCTTAGTAGTCAAGGATAACTTAGGTAATACTAATGAGGATTATGTAAATGACTTCACTTATGATTACTTTCCTTTACTAAGCACTTGCATGAAAAATATAGTAAGCTTAAGAAAAAAACATACATGTTCTTTTAAAAAAAGCATTTTGTATTTCAAGACGAGCATTCCAATTTGGATAAAGAATTTGAAGTTCTAAAAAATGATTTTAAAAAAAAATAGCATGCATATTGAACTAGATGCTACATATAAGATATTAGAAGTAGAAGTGTTGATTAAAAAAATTAGCATGAATCACATGTTAAACTAGGAATGTTTGGAGTGTAAATGAGTATCTAAGAAAAGAAATCACAAAATTTATAGCCCCTAAAAATCTTGCTCCTCACTTATTCACAAACAACTTATTATGACAGCATATGCATTATCTTCTCATAAGAGGAAGAGTCATTCATTACATAGATTAGCTTACTCATTTATAGGAGTTACATGTTATTCTTATGGCATGGTTGAACACATAACATAAGTTTGTCCATATAGGATCCACCATAGCATACAATATGTTTGTAGACCTAATGCCTTTGAAGTATAGCTTAACATACATTCATATTATTGCATTGAGGGACCCAAATTTATTTGGGTTCCAAAATTTATTGCTTTAGTATATTTTGTAAGTATGCATGTACAAGAGGTCTAGAGAAGACTTGTGGTACCTAGATAGCGAACACTTACAACACATGATTGGAGACATCAACTAATTCATTTCACTAAATTTTAGGTGTGTAGTAAAAGTGACACTTAGAGATAGTATCACTAGAAAAGTAATTGGTACAAGCACTATAGGTAAAACTAATGACTTTACTATCAAAAAGTTGTTTTGGTAGAAGGATTAAAGCATAAGCTACTAAGTATAAGTCAATTATTTGATAAGGGATTCAATGTTAAGTTTTATTTTAACAAATGTCTATTTATGGTGAATAATAAAATTATGTAAGAAGGTTTAAATATTAATAATGTTTGTATAATTGACTTACATTATATCAATAAATCAAATAAAATGTGTTGCTTAAAAACTATCATGGATGACTCTTGGCTATGGCATAGGAGACTGTGTCATGCTAGTATGAGGACACTTAGATTTAGTTAGGAGAATTCAAA